GGCCTCGCGCGCCTCCCCCGTCGGCGGCCCCGCGGAGCGGCGGTGGTACAGTCCGAGACGTCCCCCGGCTATAAATAGCGCCAGGCGCATGGCTCTTTGGGAGGCGCTGAGATTCCGGGCCCCGCAGCCGCGGGCAGCGGGTGCCTGTTAGCCACCGGGGCTCCTGGTCTCTTCTCTTTGCCTTTTGGAGGTTATTATTATTATTTTTTTTTGTAATAGCAGCAGGTGCAACCTTTTGTATTTTCAAAGCATTGATTTTCATTTTCGTGTGGGTAGGTAGGGGGGCGTTATCCACTTAGCTGCGCTCTGTTAGGGCGACAGGCGGGCTAAGCGAAGGCAGGGACGGCGGGCGGGGCGGCGGCGCAGGCGGCGGCGGAGGTGGAATGGGCGCTTTTCTCTCCCATCTGGCTCCACTTATTTATTTATTTAGACTAGAAAAAGCCAGTCGGCTTGGAGGGAGTCCGCCCAGAGACCTGAGTGAGCACTGATCAGTGTCGAGAGAAAAAAAAAAGCGCTACATAAATATATATTATGTGGATAAATCTGTAGACAGGAGCTCTAGCTCCCGCGCTCTCTGTTTCTGTCTCTGCTTTCCCCCTTCTCTCATTCCCAATCTGCCAGAGCAGCCCCCAAATTTCTCCTTCCTATTCTGCATCCACCGACACCGGATCCACCTGGGAGGATAGGGCTAGGAGAGCAACCGGGGCCGCGCCGGGGGCTCACGGAGTAGAATTCGGCTTGGTTCTCCGCCCCAGCCCTCTGAGAAGGCGGGAGGGAATGTTTCAGTCCCGGACGACTTCTCCGGTCCGGACAGTGGCAGCCAGTGCGGCCGGTAGCTGGAGGGAGGAAGGTAGGAGCCGGGGGCACCCCCGGGCCGGCTCGCCCCGGGCGGACGAGGAAGGCGCTGGGCGCGGTGGCCAGAGCCAGAGAGCCAGCTTGGCGGAGAGGCTTGATTTTTTGCTCCCTTTCTTGTTTTACTGACGCAAATTAGAAAATTATTTTCTTAGTCCACTGTCAAAGAAACGAAGCCCGGCCCCCGCTCCCGCCATCCCAGCTTCGGCGGGAGGTAGCCTGGAGCGGCTGGTGCTGCCCTGCACCACCCGATCCAGAGGTGCGAAGCGGGGAGTCTCAAGTGCGGGGGTCTGGCCGCCGGGATCGCACAGCGCGGGACTCCCGCAGGGCCAGCGGGGCTAGAGCCTCAGCTGCGCGCGAGAGGGAGTGGCAGGCGCAATTGCTGTCCCGCCTCTGGGGGCGAATAGTGGTGGTGAACTTGGCTGGGGCAGCCGATTTTTATTCTTAGCGTGTTTACCTGCACCCCTATCCTTTCCCACGCTTGCTTTTCTCGGCTTCAGAAACCCGGCCAATTAAAATAACGCGCCCATTCTCCCCTAGGCTGCAGGGCCCGGCCTACCCTCCTCCCCCTGCCCCCAAGCAGGCCCCTGCTGGCCACTTTCCGGTTTTCAGGGGTCTCTGTTCTTAACCCTGAATTACATTACTAGACTTTGTACTTAAATTTTAATTTAAAGAAACGAGACTCTAACAGCTTGAAAAACCCAGCCAAGCATTTGGTACAACCAGAAGGTTCTACACTACAGAGCCAGATGTGGCCAGAGGGCCCAGAGATTCTCTCAGCCCTGAGGTTGACAGCCCCAGGCCCAAGCTAGCTCCAGGCCCTCCTTTCTGAGGACAGGGTCCCAAACCAAAGAGGAAGAACAATTCTGAGAACAGGGAGCATTGTTCATTTTAAAATTTCCCATCTTTGCTTTTTGGAGGTGTGTGTGTGTGTGTGTGTGTGTAGAATTGCTGAAGTTGGTGGAATGGAGCAGAGACTCATCTGAAGAGGAGGTCTACTGTGGCTGTGTGTTTTGTGAGCCTCTGATAAGCTATAATAAGGTGGGCATGTCCCTGGTAAGCAAGCTGGAGTGTTTGTTAGTGTGTGACAGGTGTGTGCAAATGTCTTGTTAGTACTGTGTGCTTGTGTGGTAGTGCTGTTTGTATACTCCTCTCTCTCTCTCTCTCTCTCTCTCTCTCTCTCTCTCTCTCTCTCTCTCTCTCTCTCTCTCTCTCTCTCTCTCTCTCTCTCTCTCTCTCTCTCTCTCTCTCTGTGTGAATCCACCCCAGGACACATAAGCAGAAAATAATGACTATTCAAATTCACCACCCAACAGCATCTTGCAGTGCTTGCTGTTGGCTGTGAGGATCTCACTGGGAAGTGGATTGTATTTTCTGCCATAACAGGAGAGTTAATGAAAATAATTTCTACTTGAGGTTCCTTTTCCTCTCCCTGCCTCCCGTCCTGTCAAAGCAAAGCCACGAGGGCATGAAGCTGAGAAGTAAAAGGAACTAGCTGAAGAAAAGGAAGGGACTGCCCAGATGAAGACCCAGGAACTGTCACCTTCTTTTTCCTGACACCACCCCAGTAATCCCCAGGTCCAAGTAAATCATTCACAGATGTTTAATGATTTATGCTATTATTATTATTATTATTATTATTATTATTATTATTATTAGCCACTGTGCAAATCAAAGTAGCAGTATCTTGGCAGGAGTGAAGAAAAGAACTGGGGTGTTAATGAAAGAGGTCACCTGGTATTTCAGATTCCTATGCTTCCTCATGTTTCCTTCAGGACTCTCCCTCTGTGTTATGTGTCTTCACATGGGATGGGAAAAATGTCTTCCTACTTAGGTGGGCTTCCTTCCTCCTCTCTAGCCCACCTGGTAGTGGTACATCTTGGATTCCGTCTTAGCCCTTTGGTGGGGAGGGCCTCTATTATCCTTCATCTCTCTGACAGGTGTATGGACAGTTACCCTAGGTTCCCTCAGGAACATCCTGGACACCGGGTCCCCTCACATGTAAACGGCAGTGGAAGCAGCTTCTGGCAAGGCACTGCTGTCTTAAAGGTGACAAACTGTAGCTCCTGGACTTCCACATCTTAGCCTCAGCAGAATATTGGGGGTAAAAAGATGCAGACAGGTGTCTCAAAAGAGTGACTAGAGAAGCAAGAGTAAGGTCCCTGGGAAAAGGTATGGCATGAGGTTTGGTTGGCTCTTTGGCACCCTTATCCTTGATATCTAGGAAGACTTGGGGTAAGTTCTCCCCCCCCCCCGCCCCCCCTCCGCCTCAGATCATCAAAGAGAAATGTAATTAGGGAAAGATAGGGACAGAGTATTATTCACAGTGTCATTTAAGCAGATTTAAAACCTTTTCTCCAAGTGTCGCTTCATGCCCACAATTCTTCCATCCACTGAGAGAGAGGAGAGCAGCTGAGGGAAGGAGGAATTGGGAGCATCTGCTTTTTGTTTTCTCTCTGGTTCTGGAGTGAATGCTTTGTTGCTGATTCATCTCTGGGGATGTCAGGATGCCCTGTGGTGGTGAAGGTGTTTGAGGGTAGATAAGGTCACTTCCCTCTGCTCCTCCTCTCTGTCTGTAAGGGGAGAGGACACTCCACGTAACACTTCCCTGCTTCTAGTCACCCTCCACCCACTTCCTTCTGGTACCCACTGAACCACAGTCAGACCTGCTTTGGCTGTTCTGCCTGTAGCTTACTTTTCTATTTGGTTGGAGAGCAGGAATATGGTCCCTCTCCATCAATGTCACCCCCCCCCCCACACACACACACAGTGATGCTCACATACAGGTGCTCAGGATAGTGCTTACTAATTAATTGAACTGTGTTCATTTTTTCTGCTTCCTTGGAATAGGGGGCTGTAGCCTTAAGTCAACACCATGGAAAAGATTCAGGGTCAAACATGAGAGAGAACGCACACAGAAACTCAGCCTGGCTAAGCTTGGGGGCATCACCACTCAGCCATTCTTGCATTTCATCCAGCCTGTCTGATCTTGCTCACTGGAAATGTTGGAGAAAGGACAGGTCTGCAAAGAACTCACTGTCTAGCTAGAGAGCAAAGTCACACCAAGTGAAAAGCCCCAGAACAGCAAGCTGCAACAGATGGTTAAATGTCTTCCAGGCTTGAGGATTTCCACCAGGAGGAAATAGAAAACAGGAAGCAATGCAAGCCGCCGCCGCCACCGGCTGAGAAGTGGGGATGAACTCACTGCGAGGTGGGTAGTGGCTTGGAGGAGAGAGGGTGCTTGCAAAACAGGAGGCCAGGGTGATCTGCTGCAGAGAGCTGGCCAGTGGCCTGGAATTAGACCAGAAGGAAAGAAACAGTGGATTCTTAATGGAATCTAGAGGAGACTTCCTGGAGGAGAGCATCATGATGTGGTCCTGAGGGAGGAATACCTCAGCCTGGGCTGGAGGCGGCTGTTGGAGTCACCCACGGTTGGGAGTGAGCAGTCAGCTGTGGCTTTCCTGGTAACACGAAGAGCCTCCCAGAAGCTCCTCTGTAGAGAGAGCATGAGGAAGCAGGGTGGGATTTGGAGGGTGCAGCCTTTTGTGAATTGTGCCATAAGCTCAGAGCTCCTGTGCCCTTAAATTATTTGGGAAGGCTTTGTAATATAAAGCCCAGTGAGGAAGAAAAAAAAAAAAAAACAGTTCTCACCACCTCTGTTAATTTTAGCAGCATCTTGTCATCACTGAAAGACCTCCTTGTCCTGTTCTGAGCCCATAGTGAATCTAGCCAAGGAACCAAATCTATTGGAGGGAAGGAGCGAATGGGAGGATGGAACTTGTGTGTTTGGGAAACCCAGGGGCTCCTTAGAAGGATAGAGCCATCACCGGGGCACCACCTAGCACCATGGCTGCTAGACAAGGGTCTTCTATGCTGTTTTCCTCACCATCTGAGCCCCAAGGACACATTTTCCTGGTCCAGTGGGGGCTCCCTAGCTGTGTCCACTGACAAGCTATACCCCTAGGAGTTCTTGTGTCCTTGGTCAATAACTATTATAGGTTTCTGTCCCAAGTCTTCAGTTTTGTTGAAGACAAGCTGCCAATGAAAGACCAGCATGCGAACAAAGGGATTTCCTGTTTTGGCTGAGACATCCTGCGCAGCATGTCCTCAGAGGCAGCTGCAGCAGCGGGAGTCTGGGTCACCACTTTCTTGGACTTCAACTTTCCCTTCTGTAAAATGGAGTTGAGAACCATTTCTCCAAGCCTCCTTTCTCTGGGGCTCCTCTCCTATTCAAGGAGATGAGACAGTGATGTGTCTTTGAGGTTGATTTATGGATTTTATGTAAAGATTTATTATTAAGATGAGAAAGTAGGGATCGAGGTATGGACAGGCCTTGGAAAGAGGAATGTAGACTTGATGATCTCCATTGTTGGGCCCCAATGAACAAGGAGCTAGCTGACTATCTTCCCTAGGGTATGAGCATCTCTTCAAAGAGGAGTGTGCTCAGACCTAGAGAGGCACATGTTTCCACCTGCCAGTCCTGCCTCCCCTACTTATTAACTGTGTGACCTTGAGCACATTGTTTAGTCTCTCTGTGGCTCAGTTTCCACAGCTGCAAGATCAGTAGAGAAATAGAGCCTGGCTCATAGGGTCGTTGAGAAGATTAAATGAGTAAGTGTAGGTAAAGTGTTCAGATCGATGTCTGGACAGCCAATATTATTGGAGCATTACTAACAGGCCACTGGGGGCTGAGGGAATGCTTGAGCCCCTCCCAGCTCCTGCAGGGCTAGGGTTGGGTCCAAGAACTGGATGCCCAGTGTTAAGGTGGATGAGCTTACACATTGCACTCTGATTTCCCTAGATACTATCCCCTGGGGATGGAAACATTCAGGCAGCACAAAGCTGTATCCCTGCTTCAGTCTTCTGGGGTCCTGCCCTGTGTACCTGCTGCTAGCACTCTGGCCCCTTCTTCTTACCTGAGAGGTGTTACAGAAGTAAGTCTTTTTAATTGTGATGTTTTACTAATTAGTTTTTAATTATGTTAATTTATTGTACATGAGCCCTGAGGTTTGCAGACACTCGCTCACTTGGAAACTGGAATAGTAGGTTGCATTTATCACACAAAATACTGTGGATACATGGCCCTGTAGCGTGGCCATGGTTTCTTCAATAATACTCTTGAATCAGCAAGTCCTACCTGGGATTTCTCATCCTAGCTTTTCCCACGGCCACAAGGCTTCTGTAGTGTATGGTCCTTCACTGAGTTCAGGGGTTATGAGATTCAACATGGTCAGGTTGTGCAAGGAAAGAGTGAGGTAGTTGAGTGACCTAGGGGGACACTGGTTGGGGCTCAGAAACGTGAGATGTTATCAGGGAAGGTGTCTAAGGATGATTACGTGGGCCCTCAGACTTGCTCACTTTGGTAGAATGCTTCTGACCATGCATGATGGAACTGGTACTGCTGCAGACATGCCCAGTGTTCTGGCAGCACAAAACAGTACTGTTACCTACAAAGTTCACACTCAAGAATCACGCAATGGATTTAAAATATAACAAGTAATTGCATAATTCTTTTAAAAGAAGGTTTATGATTTTGCATCAGGCTACCTTATAGCTATCTTCTGCTGCAAAGGGCCTGCAGATTTCGTACAGGTTGAACACCCTCGGTAGAGCTAGACAAAGGCCCTACAGCTATGTGGTCTGGGGAGAGGCAGCAGAAGTTGAAGAGGAGGGTAATGCATACATGGGCAGTCAGGGGCTGGGCTATAGACAGAGGCAGGCTTGTGTTCCAGGTTGTGTGTATATGTGTGGGGTTGAACATGTAAGCTATGGAGCAAGCCTGCCCCTTAGCAAAGAGTAGGATTTAGACACCATGACCGTGACCTTATTTTCTAAGGATAATGCAGAGAAGTATAATCAATGATACCATACCAAAGAAGGTGTCAGTAGTTCATGATGTGCAGAAGGGGTGGATCACACTGTAGGGTTCATCCCTTCTGGGTCATTTCCACTTTCAGAGGATGTGGGTCTGATGCTCTGAGAAATATTTCAAAGAAGAAACCTCAGTTTCAAGGATACCACATTCCTCTCAGCACTCACCTGGTTGCAGCCTTCTTTGAGTAAGTTTCACATCCTTTCAAGTGTCCACACAGAGTTGTGTGTACAAATTCTGGTCCCTTGTTCAATGGACACATTAATATAAATTTGTCGCAGAGAGCACATTTGAAAGAAATACACTCTATAAATACAGCTGAACACTTACTGCTTAAAAAAGCTCTGTATGAAGCATATATTCCTGTGCTGAATATACACACCGATAGGTCCATGTCTTTTACTTAGGAAGAGTGACAGCCTGTGTTGGAGACGTGGCTCAGTAGGTAATGTCTGCAGTGTAAGCATGAGGACCTGAGTTCTGTTTCCCAGCCCTCAGCCTAACAGCCTGGTGCTGGAGTGCATGTCTCTAATTCCAGCCCTGGGAGGTGGAGAAAGGTGGATCTTTGGGTTTGTTGGGAAGTCATTCTAGGTGAATTGGTGGTCTCCAGATTCAATGAGAGAACCCTGCCTCAAAAATAAAAATAAAAATAAAAATAAAAATTGAATGATACTGGGGCTGGAGAGATGGCTCAATTTGTAGGGGTGCTTGCTGCTCTTTCAGAGAATGGGAGTTCAGTTCCCAGCTCCCATGTTGGGAGTTTCACAATCTTCCTAACTCTAGCTCCAGGGGATCCAGTGCCCTCTTTTGGCCTTGGCAAACATACATGCATGCCTGCACAGCTACACACACACACACACACACACACACACACACACACACACACACACACACACACACACTAATGTGTGTGTGTGTGTGTGTGTGTGTGTGTGAGAGAGAGAGAGAGAGAGAGAGAGAGAGAGAGAGAGAGAGAGAGAGAGAAGACAGCTTTGTAAATTATATTCTCAGAGCACCAGTTTCCTCATCTAAAACATAGGAGTATTTCCTATGATTGTGGAAACATTTTAGTGGAACAATTATTTGCCACAAATCAGATGCCTAACACGTATTACCTATGTTTACAGCCAAATCAAGTGTTTCCATTCTAGCCATGAGCTGGTGCAGAGCATACACTGACAATCGTGCGAGGGCGCATGGGAGATTTCATAAGAAGGGGTATTCAGGACTTCTTTGGAGAAATCTTCTCAGCATTACTGGGTGATGATAAGGATACTTAGTGGCAGCCCAGTGTCCCTGCTTCCACCCTGGGGCAAGAGGAGGGAGTCTCTAGTTAGATATGAGGGGATGCAAAGGAGGGAACCAGGGCAAGTCCTCATCCCTGGGGTTTGTATTACCATAGCTTAGAGATTCACCCCTGCGTTCAGACCAGAGAAGGGTTTACCCTAGTGCATACACTTAACACCTCCATCTTTCAGATGTTCCCTGTCTGACACCTGCATACAAGGTAGGGAGACTTTTGCCCAGGCCAACCTCCCTCCCTACCTCTGTAGGGTGGGCAAGTTGTGTGATTCATTTGCTGGCCTTGTGCCCTCAGGCTGAGTCACAGTGTAATTGATCCCTTTGAGCCAGGTGGCTGCTCTCCTGTGTCCCAGAGCAGGACTACTGAGCCATAATGAATCCAAATCGGGGCTGGGGAGACCTATTTAGATTGAGTCCATCCTGGAAGGAGGGTCAGACTGTCACACTGGAAGGTGGCTCTGAGTCCATCCTGGAAGGAGGCTTGGATTCTCACACTGGATGGTGGCTCTGAGCCTTTTATAAGGTACTCCTGAAAGTCTGTCTTTGGAGAAAGTGGGTCTGGTCCCCACTGACCAGATTAGAGCTCCTTATTGGCCTTTATCAATATCTCTGTGAATTAACAAAAGGCATAATTTTGTCTGGGAATCTTCAGTCTTTGTGCTTCTGGGATGAGGTTTGGAGGAGTGAGAGAAGAGTCATCCACATGTCCACCAAGAGAAGTGTCTGATCTTGGGGTTACTTGGTCCTCTGGCATCTTTCTCCTGGGTACTAAGGAAACCCCAGGTGTTGGGGGTTAAGCCCTAAATTCTCCCAGTCTGGTGGTAAAGAGCAGAGTTAAGTCTCACTTCTCTAGAGTAACAGATCCCTGCAGATCCCTGGAGCAGCAATGAGCATGCGAGCATCACTGCCGTGCCGTGCATGAATCAGGAAGTTGCTTTTGTTTCTGTACTGTCATGGTTGGAATCGAACTGTCCTATACTGGCTTGATCATGATAGCATGTGGGCCACTTTGAAGGCCATGAAGCCTTTAGGAAATCAGCCTTGGTTGCTGGTAGTAGGGCACCAGGGGCGCAACCTTGAGGGTTGTACCAACCCACAGTTCTTGCTGGGATCCCTGCTCCTTGGATGATGGAGGCTGTCTCACATTCTTCCCATCATGCTCTGGGAGCCATTCTGGACTTCAGTCTCTAATATGTCAGCCTTTCCTCCCCGAGTATTGCTTTCGGGTATTCTGTTGGAGTGATGAGAAAAGTGACAAACACATGGACATTTATCTCTAAATGGGCACACAGTCCTTCTGTCCTAGAGAGGTATCTATGGAAAATACAAGGTTCTGAGAGATAATCCATTATAATCCCTGCCCCTAGGAACTAGGCTGACCTGGCGGGGATGCTGAGGTCTTACCCCCTGAGACTATATGACTGCTCCCAATTATAATAGGGTCCCTGCTCTGCTTCACAGCTGCCCAGCCAGGCCATACCCTCCTGGGAAAAGTGAACCTCTTTGTCTCACCAACCAACAACTAAGTGGATGCCTGGGTTCTAAAGAACTCACGGTGGCCTCTTAGGTCGCCACTCCCCCTCCTTGGACCTCAATTGTTCATTTTGTGTTCTTCATCCTTGATCTGACAGCTTGTGGGATGAGGGAGGGAGAGAAGGAGCTTGTCCTTAGGTACTGTGTAGAAAACACACTCCTCAGTCACCAACCTGTCCATTGCCCTTCCCTGCTCCTGGCCCCAGAGCAGCTCTGAGAACACAGAGACCAACACGGCTGGTCCATTCTTCCTCTTCCTCCCCATTAGTTCTTCCAATCACACTTAACAGCCGCCTGGCTTTTGGCCGCAGCACGGTATATAATAACCTGCAATTATTGTCCACTTAAACTGTCCCCAGGGCCTTGTCTGTTGCGCTGCCCGGCTTGTACCGCCGGCCCGCTGATTTTCCTGTCAGAGTCAAAGCCAATGAGAAGCAAGTCCCTGACAGGGCCAAAGTGACAGCCTGTTTGGCAGGGCACCACCACTGTGCCTGCAGCTCCCTTCGAGACAGGGCCACAGAAAAGGCCACAAGTCACAGTCTTGCCTCGCCTGGGAGCACCGTGCTTCTGGGCCAGTCACAGCTCTCCTCATCTTCTAGTCCCTGATTCTCTCTACGCAGGGCCATCATTTCAGCCTCTGTGCCTTTGTTTACCTGCTGCATGCCAGTCCTTCGGAGGCCACCTCCTTCCTCCCTGTATCCTGCCCATGAAGGCCATTTATAAACGGGACTGCTGAAGAGTAGATAAGCTAATTGGGATACAGAGACAGGAAGTCTCACTTATTTAAACCTTTGCTGTGTACTCTTCTCTCCTAGTAACGACCTCTCCACTGGTTTTGCTCCAGCTTCCCCGCCTCCTCCCCCTCCCCCCAGGAAGTCTGTCTCCGTCACTGCAGTGATAACTGTCTCGCCGTCTGATTTCTGAAGCCTCTCTGCACACAGATCCACCACTCTCACTACTCACGGCTCCTCCTTCCTAACTGTGCCTGCTTGTGTGTTTGGGAGCATCCCCGGGCCCAACATTTACTGCCTCTGACTGGAATGCCAGTCATCCGTGTGGTCAACCAATGGACCATGTCTGTGTGATGATGGTTTCTAGGTGGTGGAAAAACATATGGGTATCGTGCCACCATTGGGGTCTGCAGAATCTGAGGGTGCCATGTTTTCACACCACTCCACGTCTAATAATTAACTGACCAGAGACACAGTAGAGTGGATGCTGGGCCTC